TGAAGAATATAGGGGACATAAATATAAAAACAACAAAAATACAAAAGAAAGAAAAACTTAACCAACATATTAATTCCAGATGGGCAACTCCCAGCACAGAAACAAAAACAACATGAAAAGAACCAAGATAATATGTCTTCCTTAAAGATTACTAACTCCATACTGGCTCCTAATGGGAATAATTTGTTAGACCTTCTAGACAAAAGAATTTTAAAGAATAATTGTAACTATGTTCAAACAGCTTAAAGAATATATGAGTGGGCCTCAAGAGAACAAAACAAAGAGCTAGATGGAATAATTTAAGTCAGTCTAAGAAATGAACACTGACTCCAATAAAAAGAACTGCTGAAGAAAAACCAGGCCAAGGTTGCTGGAAATGGCAAACTCAAAAAGCCAAATTAAGGCTCCATGTAAATCTTGACCAACAGAATGGACCTTGTAGGAAGCAGAGCATTAGGGCTGGAAGATACAGTGGTATTAGACCTTGGTTCTGTAATAAACGACCTTGTGTTTCAAAAGTTGGAGGTGGTTAAAGGTGGGTAAAGGCCTTCTTGAAGTCAGTAAACGGAAATTGGATCAAACAGTTAAGATAAACGAGGAATTTTCTAAAAGGCGGACAGAACATGTGAAAGCTTTGGAACACCATGAAAACACCAAATCTGAATTATAAACAAAATACCACACCAAAAGCATAAAAAGATTTTTTCTTTACAAATTTATTATTTTATGTGTGTGGGTATTTTCCCTGTATATTCGTGTATCATATGTGTGCCTGGTGCTCATAGAACCCAGAACATGGCATTGGATCCCTTGGAAAGTTTGAGTCACCATGTGGGTACTGGAGATAAAATTCTGGTCAACTAGAAAGGAAGCCAATGCTCTTAAAGTCTAAGCCAAATCTCCAGCTCCATACAGAAAATATTTTCAATAAAATAGAATTTCTCTAATCTAGAGAAAGAGATGCCAAGAGATACAAGAAACCTACAGGATATCAAATAGGTAGGATAAGAAAATAAGCTCCAAACAACATATTTTAGTTAGAACACAAAAAACAGATGAAAGAAAGGGTATTGGAAGCTGCAAAGGCAAGGATCAAATCACCTATAAAGGCAGGATCATCAGAATAACATGATTATTTCGTTGACATTTTAAAGCCAGAAGGGCCTAAAAAATATATTCTGAAATACAGTTCTAAAAGAACACAACTGTAAAAACGAGACTATTATATCATATTATATTAAAATTAAAGGTGATATAAAAAACTTTCCATGTGAAAAACAGTCTAAAGAAGTTTATGGCCACTAAGGCAGCTCTACAGAAGATAGTAGAAAGAATATTTTGGTATCAAGAGAAGTATAAATATGACAAAAGTGTTATGGGTCTAAATAAATAATCACAAGAGTAAAAACAAACACTAAAATCAACAGAATGACATAACTCAATATACTTTCAATAATAGCTGAATATTAGTAGTCTTAATTCTTCAGTAAAGACAGAGATTGGATAAGTAAGCTGATAGAAGACAGGATTCATTTTTATGTTGCCTCCAACAAATACATCTTACCACCAAAGACAGACACCACCACCTTAGTGTAAGTGGGTGGGAAAAGGTATTCCAAGCCACAGAGTAATCCTAATACAGTGACAGTGGGTGACTTCAATACCTCACTCTCACCAGCAGACAGGTCATTTGGACAAAAAGTAAATAGAGAAACACGAGTTAATTGTCATCATAAAAGCAACAGATGTAACAGAGGTTTACAGAACATTTCCCCCAAACTGATCACATGTTAGGGCACAAAGCAAATCTCAACAACTGTATGAAAACTGAAATAACATCCTGTATTTTATCTGACTGGAATGGGATAAAGCTAGGTATCAACAGCAATAGAAAGTACAAAAACTCATGGAAACTAAATAATATACTATTGAATGATGATGGATCACTGATGAAGTCAAGAAATTTTTAAAAAATTTCTTCAGAGTGAAAATGTAGACACAACTTATCAAAATTTATGTCACACAAAAAAGGGAGTTCCTAGGGCGAGAGTTCACAGTGGTAAATGTCTGTGTCAAAACGCTTTGAGAACTCTTAAGTAAACGGATAGGCTTCAAAGCCTGAGGATCCCAAGAATGGGGGGAAGAAATAATAAAAGGCAGAGCAGAAATCAATAAAATAGAAACAATTTTAAAAAATACAAAAAACCCAATGAAATGAAGAGGGGGGTCCTTTGAAGAGATAAATAAAATTGACAAACTCTTTAAAAATTAACAAAGAGAAGATCCAAACTAATATACCAAACTAATATACCTGAAAGGATGAAAAAGAAGGTATTAGAACAGATACCAATGAAATTCAGAAAACCATGGGGACATACCCTAACAACCTATACTCCTTTTTTCTTCTTCTTTTTTGAGAAGGATCTTCTATCTCTTTTTTGAGATAGGATCTCTTTATGTAGCTCTGAACTCACAGAGGTCTGCCTGCCTCTGCCTTCTGAGTGCTGAGATTATGCCATCATGCCCGGCATCTTCCAAAATTTTTATGAATCAGTATTATGGTGACATTAAAATCAGGTAAATATAATACACACACAAAAAAATTAGACTGTTCTTGGGCTGGAGAGATGGTTCAGCGGTTAAGAGCACTGCCTGCTCTTCCACGGGCTCTGAGTTCAATTCCCACCAACCACATGGTGCCTCACAACCATCTTTAATAAGATCTGGTGCCCTCTTCTGGCATATAGGCATACATGCAGACAGAACACTATATATAATAAATAAATCTTTTTAAAAAAATAGACTGTTCTCCCTAATGAATGTACATACAAAATCCCCAGTAAAATACAAACTGAATTCAGCATCACACTGAAAAGCATTTATCATAACTATTTTGACTATTCCAATCATGCAAGGATGATGCAGCATACCCAAATCAATAAATGTAATTCATAACGTAAGCAGACCAAAACCAAACAAACCCAGAAGTCACATGATAAACATAGAAAAAGCCTTTGACAATATCCAACATCCTTTTGAGATCAGAGTCATGAAAAGGCTAGATAAGACAAGGCAGGAGCATACCTCAATATAATAAAGACTATATACAACATATTTACAGCCAATATCATACTAAATAGAGAAAAACTCAAAGCATCAGGAACTAGAGTCCTACCTACCATCTTCCTTCCACTTCTATTCCATACAGTGGTTAAAGACTTAGAATAATACGAAAAGAGAAGGGATACCACTAGGATAAGAAGGAGTATCTCCTTTTGCAGATGACAAGATTATACATAAGAGGTCCTAAAGAATTTATCAAATTCTTTGAGTTGATAATTATGTTCAGCAAAGTGACACACAAAACCTGGGCATAAATTAACCAAGGAAATTGAAGACCTTTATAATGAAAGTTTTCAAACACAAAAGAAATAAATTAAGAAATACACTAGAAGATAAAAATACACCCCCATACTCATGGATCAGAAAAATATTGTAAAAAATGACCACTCTACTTAAAGGTTCAAAAATTTATATGGAGGAACAAACCAGAGATAGCCAAAACAATCCTGAATAAAAAGAACAGTGCAGAAGGTATCACACCTGATTTCAAATTTCATAGAGCAGTATTAATAAAAAAGCATGATGCTGGCACAAAAACACAAGAGTCGAGGACCCAGATGTAAGTCCATGCAACTACGGTTAACCTGAATTTTTACAAAGATATCAAAAATATACATCAGAAAAAAGCACCTTAAAAATGATGCCAGGAAAAGTGGTAAAGACAGAAATGAAACTAGATCCTTCTCTCTCACCATACACAAAACTCAACTCCAAATGGATCAAAAACCTCAGCATACAACCGGATAGTCACAAAGAGCTCGAAGGAAAAACAGAGCGCATGCTTTAATTTATACACATTGAATAAGACTCCTATCTCACAAGAAGTACAACCAGCAACTGACAAATGAGATCTCATCAAACTAAAGAAACGGAAGGGTAAACAGATGGCCTTCAGAATGGGAGGAAACCTTTGCCAGCTATTCATTCAATAGAGGATTAGTGTGTAGAATATACAAAGATCTAAAAAAGCTAACCATGGTTGGGTGTGGTGTCACAGACTTATAATTCAGAACTTACTTTTAACCCCAGAATTTGGGAGGCAGAGGCAGACAGGTCTCTTGAGTCCATGGTCAGCCTGGTCTACATAGTAAGCTCCTTGACAGCCAGAACTACGTAGTAAGACACGTCTAAAAAAACCAACCAACCAATCAACCCACAAACCTTAAATAAAACAAAATTTTTAAAAAGCTAAACATTAAAAACAAAAACACAAATGAAAAATGGTCTGTGGAAGTGAACAGTTTCCAACAATTTTGGATTATCTTCAGGACTGGCAATAATGATCTGACTTAGTTCTTGCCTTGCATGCATGGGTTCTTGCTTCCATTCCCAGTGAATGTGTATGTATGTATGTATGCCTGTGTAAACCATTTTGGCTACCAATTCAGTTTCTTTTCATCCTTTACCGTTCCCAGAACTCCACCTTCACAAATACTGGAGTAAACTGCAGGTCACTTCTTTTACTCTTCAGTTTTCCTCTCGGCCACCCACTTTCAAACTGTTTGTACACAAGCCATAAATTAATCACTTTCTTCTGTGGGTAGCACCACCTGGGTACTTTCCAGCTCTCGTATGTTGTTCTTTAGAAGTTTCATTTGAAACCTATTTCACTTTAATTTTTTTTCCTTCACAGTGTTTCAGTTTATGTTATTATATGCACATTCAGGTTATAAACTGACCCCCCATTCTTTTTGAGACAAGCTGGCCTTGGCTCAGAGATACAACTGTTTCTGCCTCCAGAGTGCTGGGATTAAAGGTGTATGCCACTTATACCTGACATCTTAAGCTTCTTGCCTATAAACTCATCTACCCCTTCTGGGTTTCTTCAGATTCAAATTTTCTCCTAAAGTTCCATCTTTCTTGCTTTTGGCATAGACTGAGAAAATCTGACTGGGTGCCAACACTGAATTTTACTTGACTAAGATGGGAAGTGTTTTGGTTGGGGAAGGTAGTAAGGCTAATTTGATCCTTCTAAGGTGTTTTGGTTTTAGAACTTATTCTCCTAGTTGTCATCCCTCTATTGGGTGATGTCCTTCTGAGGACATATTGGTACCCTGAGTGCAGGGCAAAAGAGAAAAACAAAAGCAAAATTCCTACACTTTAACAATCCGGCCACATTTGGAGCTTTCTTATATAATAACTCATGGTGCCTTTCACAAATGACCAGTCTCTAAAAGCTAGGAGTGGTGGTGAACATTTTTAATCCAGTACTTTGGAGGCAGAAGTAGGTGGTTCTCTGAGTTTGAGGCCAGCCTGGTCTACATAGTGAGTTTCAGAACAGCCAGGGATAGACAGAAAAACCTTGTCTCCAAAGAACCAAAACCAAAACAATCAATGGCCAGTCCCAGAAAGCAACTTATATTGTATTTACTACTCAGAGTAAAGGGATGGTTGCCTGTGTACCCAAATACGGACTCCATGCAATCAGCCTGTGAAGTCCAAGTAACTTCCTGGTTGGATGCTCTAAGGAACATCTACTTACTCCCAATGGTCTGACTAAGGACTTGCCTGCTGCTTTTTCCCCCTGTCTGTCCACACCTTTACTGTTTGTCACCAGTCTTTCATATACCATTTTGCATGAGACTTCACATTGCAGTGTCTTCTCATCCTGTTTAAATGCTGGGAAAGTCTTGCTGTCTTCAGGTGACCTGCTGCCTGGACTCATGTAACATGCAAATGATTCGGCCAAAGGCCTTGGTGGCTCTTAGCTTGTCTCATCTTCAGAACCTCAGCCACAGTAGCCTCTCTTCCTCTAGTCATCTATCTATGGATTCCTTGTTAGTTTTTCTATACTGCTGAAATCTGGATACTGCCTTCAGGCAAACACAATGCCCTCCAAAGGGCTCACCAGGTTTCCGGTCTCCTGTGCTACCCATATGAAAACACTATGGCAGGAGGAATTTCTGCAAGCTGGTCCCCCCCAGAGCCCCTGTTCAGTGTATATATGAGCATGTGCCAGCAAGTAGCCAAATTTCCCATTCATCTCTGAGCTAATATCACATTCACCATGGAAGTGGATCCAAATCAGTGCTAGTCTGGGACTGCAATGGAACCAAAGCATTTTCAGTTGACATCTGAGGACATTTTAGAAGACTTTGCATTTTTAAATGCAGAGACAAACTGTGAGCATGATTGCTTCTCCTCCTCACTGGCACAGATACCAAAACCTATTATCGTGCTAACCCAGGAGCCCAGGAATGGGAAATGTATTCAATCTTAAAAGAAAAGAATAAAAACCTTGTAGGCTGTGATAGTGTGGTGGATATTAATTTCATTGTGTGTCCTGTCTTTATACACACCTGCTCCCATTTGAGTGAGTTTATAAAAACTGAGGTGGGTGGTGGTAGCACACACACTTGGAAGCAGAGGCAGGAGGATCTCTGTGACTTCAAGGCTTGGTATACAGAGTGAGTTCCAGGACAGTCAGGGATACACACAGAGAAACCCTGTCTTGAAACAAAAAGCCCTTTAGAAAACAAACTTGCTGACATGTTTTTTGGAATGAGGAGGCCCACTGAAGAGCTTGTTGCTACTTCAATTTGAGGCCTGTCACATGCTCACCATAGAAAATCCTTGTCTTAGAGAGCAGGTATCATCCCAAATTACTTACTCCAAAAGAGTTAGCAATGACACTGTTACTCAGAGATGCATTCAGAATGCATTGCTTCAAGTCATGAGGTGCAGACACTGACACCTGCCATCTAAGTTCAAGCCTTACACACGTACTCAGCAGATACAGAAAAGTTAAGATGGACTTAATGGGGAAAGGAAATGATCCATGCCTTTTCACTTCATTAATATATTTTGGTGTTTGATTCTCTTTAGTGGCATGGGTATATGTGTTGATTTGAATGAGAATGGTTCCCAATAGGTTCATGTTTAAATACTCTGGTGGAACTGTTCCAGGAGGATTAGGAGGTATAGCCTTGTTTGATAGGTGTGTCATGGAGGAGGGCTCTGAGGTTTCAAAGACTAGAACCATTCCTTTAGCTGCCTCCTACCATATTCCCTGCCATCACAGTCAAAGGCTCTCACCCTCTTAAACTAAGAACCCTGAGTTAAACACTTTTTGATAATTATCTTGGTCATGGTGTCTTATGACAATAGAAAAGCAGCTAACAGTATATAAAGTTCAATGAAAACATTCCCAGTTAAAGTTTCTTTCCAGCTGTTACCTTACTTCAGATTTATATTGAGAAAAGGACACAGTGAAACATGAAGCTCCCATGGAGCCTTCCCATAGGCTCTGGCAGAAAGTCTTCAGCCTCCCTCGGCCAATGCTCACTTTGGGCTTTGGTTCCCCATCTAGAAGTGGAATGACCACTCTGCTTAGTTGCAGCCATCCTAGCAGCCTCTGCAGAAACCCAGAGTTGTCTTCAGGATTCCCTCACTACCTACTCTCCCCTCTCCATCAACCGGGTCCAGAGGCTTCTATCTTCTACCTTTTGTTCCTCAAACTCAAGTTATAAACCCTTGATGACAGAGCCAAAGAAACTTGAAGTTTCCAGGGAAATAGAAAGTTCATTCCTGGCGGTGAATGGCATATAGCTAGGAAGTGTGAGGAACTGGCCTGCAGCATACCACTGTGGATCTTTAAGTGCTCAAGAGCTGAGGGCTGAGTTCTGAGTGTCTCTGGACCCCAACATGGTACTTGCAGTTGGGGCACCCAGGTTTTCCCATCACCATTATAGTGTCAACAGTTCCTGCTGATGCTATAACCGGAAACTCTGGGTTCTTCTTGGTAGGTGGTTTGGCTCCAATGGAAGAAATGGAGGGCCAGAGGCAGTGTTTGGTCTCCCCTGGGAGGCAAGCCCAATGCTAGTTCTCTAGCCACTTCTTCAACCAGGAGACAATGCCAGTATCCCTGGGGATAGAACCAGAATCTTTGTCCTTTCAAGAACACTGTTCATGCAAGGTCACAGCCCTGCATGCTTTTTCTTTGTTGAACTATCCCAGGAACACAGGGATGTGCTGCTTTCTCACCTGGAAAAGAAAAGAAGGCAACCTATTCCACACCTCCTCTGGGTACTGATTTCCTTCCTCTTCTCTGGTGGGAAATCTCCAGGAGGCTAGAACCTACTGTTCCCTCCCTCCCGCAACTGGCTTCCATCAGCTTGTTACTGTTACCCTAGGCCTGATAATCTTCCCACCTCAGGTAATTCACTTCCTGGACACTGGAAAAGTATGAGCCATGTAGTATACTGAGGTAAGTAAAAGCTAGACAACAAACCAGAGGCAACTGTGTTAACTGTTAACTGTGTTAACTGTTAACTCCTGAAGGGACAAAGGTGGGACTAACTAAGCCTTTCAGTTTTCAAAACCATTTACTTTGTTCCTAATTTTAAGCCAATTAAGCATCCCTAATTCATCATTTTACTAGAGACCACAATCCCTTCTCTTCCCCAAAATGTGGACAGGCAAGTGCATACAAGGCCATAGGTAACCCTCTGTTCCACAAAGGCTGTTTCCACTAAGTCCCAGTGACCTGAGTATAACCCACTACCCCATCTTGAAGCTTCCTGGTACTTCTTGCCATGAGCTCGTGAGGCCTAATCATTTGGTTGGCTGTTGTTTCCTGCCGACTGCTCTGTTCTGGTACCAATGACAACTTCGTGTTCAGAAGACAACTGAGGGCACCAGGAACCCTGAAACCTAGGGACATCAGAAAGTGACTTTGGCGGTAGTCTTGGCTCTATGGAAACAAGTATCACCCATTTGTTACCTCCCACCACACCCATCGTCCCCAGCAGAAAGCAACCAGACTGGGTCTCCTGCTGTACTAATGTATTCCATCTTTCAAAAAGAAAGACATGATTTTAATATTACTTAACAATATGTTAAAAAAGTAGCCAGGCAGGCCTCCGTGTTAATACGGTTGTACGCTCTAGAACAGACTTGATGGTGTGAGTACTGGGTGGGTTTCTTGTTTTTAACGTTCTCATTCTGCAAGGGGTCTTACACAAGCTGGCTACAAGTCAGGGGGTCAAACACAAACAGCGCAACGTGTACACTCGGAAACAGTAGATTGTGAAAGAGTACAAAGGAGGCCTGCCCGCCCAGCCCGCCGTGGGTGGGACACAGGGCACATGGGAGCTGAGGGATGGCTGACACCCTGGCGGGGACAGATAACAGGACAGGGCGAGATGCAGAGGCGACAGAGCCACGTGGATGATGCAAACTCGTCTCTGGCCACGGCCCAGGCCTCTGAAGCCGTGGTGGTGGAGGAATTGGCGGGAACTACTGTTCCATTCCGACAGCACAGAGCTACAATCAAAGAAGTCTCACTCACAGACTACACGCACACAAGCTAACAACGCAGGTCGAGCAGCAAGTTCTCGGTCTGGGGGGTCTCAGGCCACGGCATCCCGCCCTACACACCATGGGTGGGTACCGAAGCTCTGGGGAGCCACTGAAAGGCTTGGCTCTTGAGTGGCGCAGCCCAGCTGCCTCTCATATATCCCTCTCCAAGCAGTCCTCATTCAGTGGGCAGCAAAGGTGGCTTTCTTCAAGCTAAAGTTGGACCAGTTGATGGACAGTCTTTGTCGGTTCTGTCTAGCAGAGTCCAAGCAGAACCTGGCAAAACAAAATAGCAAATTGTCACAGGACAGAGCCCACATCCAGTCTGGCAATCACCACACCAACCTCTGACACTTGTAGCAATTCACTGGAAAGCTTCAGTGAGATTTGAGGTCAAAAGTTTCTGTGCTTGGAGGAGTGGTCCCACCTTCAGGACACTGCCCAAATGGCTTGTGTATTTTCTGGTGCTTTCTGTTATTTGATACTGTGTCCAGGGAAGAGGCAAGATAGCATAAGAAAAGCAGCACTTAGTGTAGAAAGACAGAGTGTACCAAGCATCACTGAAGGGCTCTAGGAAAGCTCTTCTGATGTGACCATACAAGAGAAGCTGACATCAGTCACTATTCTGCCTGAAAAAAGGGCTAGGGAGCGTCTACTTCCCTACACAGAAGCTCTTAGGGACTGATGTAGATTCTGATGCTCTGTCTGAGCCACTACCTAAGTCATAGACTGTTGTTGGAACTGATGGGCAGCATCAGGCCAAAAGACACCACACAAGAGGCAGGACTGAAGGTAGTCCTGCAAGCAGGTCTTCCTGTGATAAATACCTCATATCTTGGTTAACAGCAATGACTTACTCAAAACAACAAATATGTTCCAGGTAAGAAGCCACCAGCTGGCTCAGCCTCCACAGCAGCCATGAGCTTCAGGAAGGAACGCACTTTGTGGTCACTGTGGCTGGGCATATAGGACCAAGACAGGGTGAGCATGACCCATAGTCTGTATCAAGTGTATTGAATCAAAGGCAACAGCTAAACCCATGTGTAAAGTTGAGGTTTTAGCCTGTCTTGAACATATTCATAAAATAAGAACTACTATGAGAAAGATTACAATATTCTGGCCCTCTACTCCATCTAAGGAGGCATGTCCTCTAGACATGAAGGCCTTCAGGCCTGAACCACCTGCCAGTTCTATGCTCTGAGCCACAAACACTGGAAGCTAAACAGCTTCTGAAAAAGATCTCAATACCCATTCTGGATAGTTTACAACTTCTTTTAACTCCAGCTCCAGGGCATCTGATATGCTTTTCTATCCTCTGAGGTCATTCCCATAGATGCCCTCAGAGGATATAAATCCTTTGAGAATTTTTATTTATAAAAAAAATTAAAAATAAATATTAAAAAAGATTACCCTTTGCCCTGTTTCTCAGACAAAGATGGTCAATTTGTATATTAATGATGGAAAAAGTATTTTCTTTGTTTAAAGACTCTTACATAATTTCTCATTCTCACTATTACAGCTCTGGTTTGAGGAACAGAAATTGTAATGAAACCTAAAATGATGGTTTTCAGGTGGTTTGAATGTTTATGTTTAAATTGTGGTCCAATCATTCAACCAAATACCCTTGTCTATCCAGTTATGTGTTGTACATTCTGTGGTCTCTGTTAACATAAGTAAAAAACAAGTGTTTGCCAGGGAAGAGCTGTGCCATCTCAGCTCCAGAATGTAGACTTTTTCTTCTTTTAAGATTAAAATAAATCTTTAAAAAAAATGCCAAAAGCGTATCAGAGGCTCAAGAGCATACAACGCAAGCTGCTTCCCAAAGTGAATAGCTCCATCCACATCCAAGATCTAGACCAATCAGGTTTGTTGTCACTGGACCCCATTCTGCATGCACCATACACACAGATAACCAGGATGCAGAAAACCCCAGTGAATGCACCAAGGAAGCCCTTGGTGTCTTGATATTTGAGAGTGAGGCCTCATCATATCCGGCAGCTCTAGGAATTCTATATGCATACTCAGCAGTGGTCTGGCTGTACTGTTTGAGCATCTGCATGCTGAATCATACTGAGTATGTTATTTTTTTTAACCTTATTGTTTGTTCTAGTCAATGTTATGGCTAAGATTCTTCCTCAAGGCAAGTCTGTTCAGCTGTCTGACTGTCAAGTTTTAACAGACTAGGCAGATGGAATTACACAAGTGCTTCTTGCTACCTTCTGTGCTACATGGAAGGTGCTTCACTCATACAAGGTCCTGTCAAACTGCTCCTGGGAACTGTTAAGAGCTGCATGGCCCTGCCTCTCTCTCTCAAACTCCTGCAGAGCCTGCCTTGTGTTATCTGCCCACACATACACTGTGGGACTGTGTTGACTTCTAATTGGTTTGTTTTCCAATGTTCTATAATCTTCCCTTTAATCAGCATACAAATGGTTTTACTCTGGAATCTTCACACGTGTATCAACTACTTTGCTCATCTTTAGTTTCGTCTGTCTTCCTTCAAATGACATTGTTTCATTACAAATCATGGCTCGAACCTGTATAATGTTCTGGTAAATATTATTTTCTCTCATTTTCTTTAAAACAAATCCTTGCTACTGAAGTAGTACCATTTATTTTTATCTTATTTTGAGATGGGAGCTAGCTTTGCTGCCAAGACTTAAGTGAGCGCCCTGCCTCAGTCTCCTAGAACTGCAGGTACGAACAGGTTGTGGCTCAAATATAAGAAGACTTTTCCTATTCTGATTTCAGAAACATTTATTTTCTTCCAAATGAAAAGGTTTTATTTTGCATGAAATTAGTACTGAGTAGCAAACTCAGGTTTCTCTCTATTATACCTGTATCTTGGTCAAAAGCTGGCTTTTGACATTAAAATCTTAATCCCTGGGCTGGAGAGATGGCCCAGTGGTTTTAAGAGCATTGGTTGCTCTTTCAGAAAATCCGGGTTCTATTCTCAGTATCCACATGGCAGCTCACAACTATCTATAATTCCAGACATCCTTATATCAATATATAATATACCTTATACCAATGCACACAAAATAAAGTTTTATATACATACATACACAACACAATGTGTGTTGGAAGAGTGGTGGTGGCGCATGCCTTAATCCTAGCACTCAGGAGGCTGAGGCAGGTGGATCTCTGAGAATTCAAAGCCATTCTGGTCTACTGAGTGAGTTCCAGAATAGCCAGAGCTACACAGAGAAACCCTGTCTCATTAAAAACAACAAACAAACAAACAAACAAAAAACCTAACAACAGAATGGTGTGGAATGGGTATCCAATCCAACTTCACTTTTTCCTTTTCCTTTTGGATGAGCAACTTTACAGCCCTATTTATAAAGACCTTCATTTTTAAAGTAATCTATCAATCCATCTTCTGTCACGCCCTGAGTCCAGTGCTTCCATGAAGCTGTTTCTGGGCTTCTTCTGTATGGCCATCAAATGTCTTAATGAAAGGCTTCTACAAATTTACACTGGGAAAGTAGGGAAAGTAGGCTTCCTTGATCTTATTCTTGTGGAAAGGAATAAACAAACCACACCTATTTTTTTGTGAAACGTAGCATACATAAATGACTGAAACACATAATGATGCTAGGATGCAGAAGCCCCACCCACAGCCCCAATTCATCTCCTGCAGTCCTGACAACCAACCCCCAATAAATCTTTGGCCTCAGTCCTTCCTTCCTTCTCTCAGAAATATCTTCGCTTTTCACAGCAGTAACTTCCTCCTTGTGTGTGTCTTTTTTACATACAAACATGTTCTGTGAACATTTTATTTCTTGAGTGAGGGTCTCATATTAGCCTTCAATTCACCATGTACCTGACAATGACCTTGAATTCTGGTCATTCTGTCTCTCCATCTCAAGTGCTGGGATTATAGGTATGCATATCTTTCATGCCTGGTTTTATGCAGTGCTGGGGACTGAATCCAGGGTATTCTACAAAATGAGTTACATTCCCTATGCCCAACTATTTAAAAACTTACTTTATTGATCTGTGATTCATGAAAAGCACATGGCTAGCAAGTATGGATCTTATTAGTATCAACATATGGCTCTATCCTTGTGGGTCACCCTAGTCAAGATACAGTGCCACACCTTTTCCTGCCCTGTACTGCCAAGACTTACCTTTCCTCAGCAACAAGAAATAGTGATGAAGATCTGTCAGTGGATGAATGCACATGTAATTTGGCACCATGTGTCTTATGCTAGCCTAGTCACTTTGTATGCTGCTGTGGAAAACCTTTCTTGATGCTGCACTGCAGACAGCTGCTCTTAATGTGCAGTGGAATTCTTCTAGAGGGACATAAAGCTTTTGGTGATTACAAACAAAATGAACAGGACAGCATGTTTGTGAAGCCACATGGGCTGGCAACCATTTCTCAGGCCTAGAAGCAGAGCTGTGTTTCTGGTGGCACGTTTCACTAAGCACTCCTATCTATTCTGCTTGCTTTTAAACTTGAAATAAGTAGCATTTCACAAATATCCCATCTGTGTCTATCTCTACCAGGAGCTTCTGAGTACTGCACAAACTCCCCTCCATGATTCAATCACAACTTACTCTAACACTTTAGAATCACAAGTTTCATGACTGTAATGCTTAATCTTGGTCGACTATGTCTAGAACAACTGAAACCCAAGCAGCTGGGCACTCCTGTGAAAAATTTTCTTAATTGCCTGATTTGAGGTAGGAAGAGCATGGTAAGCCTAGGCTACACTTTTTAGTAGACATAAGAGGAAAAAAGTTGTTTTTTGCCTGCTTGCTCTTGCTTTGGCTGGCAAGTTCATATCCTGTTGCTGAGCATTCCTTTGCTGGTAACAGAACTCAATTCTTCAGGATGCCAATGTAGACTGAAGACTAGCAACTTTCTAGGAATCCTCTGAGATTCTAGTACCAGATTGGGACTGCTGCAATATCCATTTTTGTGCTCTTTCTGTTGAGAGAAGAGACATGCTAGCAGCAGCACAGCTTGTAAGCCACTCTTATAAATCCTTTCTTTATATCTATATTCATTTGATCAGTTCCATTTCTCTAAAGAAGCCTCATTCTTGAAATTTAAGCCTAGAGATAAAATCTGGGAAATTCAAAGGCTTCATGGATGTTAATTCTTCCTGTCTTTTAAACAGGATCTTCATTGGTTTTGATTTTGGTTTAAGTTTGTGTGTGTGTGTGTTCTGCCTACATGTTTTTATGTGTACCACATGCATGCCAGTTGTTCAAGTAGGCCAGAAGAGGGTACTGAATTTGGGGGAAATGGAGTTATAGACAGTTGTGAACCATCATATGAGGGCTGGAAAATGAACTCAGGTCCTCTCCAAGTGCAACAAATGCTTTTAACTGTTGAGCCATCTCTCCAGCTCCAGTGAGGTTTGTTTTCCTTTTTAGACATTTTTTTCCTTCCTTATTATGTATGTCTGATGAGGTACAAGTGTGGGAGTCAGAGAAAGACTTGCAGGAGTTGGTTCTCTCCTTCCATTTGGGTTCTAGGGATTGAATTCAGGTTGTTAGGCTTGGCAGTAAGTGCTTTTACTAGCTATAGTGTTTTTCTTTAAAAAGCTTCCTAGAAGCTGGGCAGTGGTGGTGCATGCCTTTAATCACAGCACCCAGGAAGCCGAGGCAGGAGGATCTGTTAGCTGGAGGCCAGCCTGATCTACAGAATCAGTTCCAGGACAGTCAGGACTACACATAGAAACCCTGTCTTGAAAAACAAAAAAACCAACAAACAAAAAAAGCCCCCTAGATTTCTGTGTATAAGTCTTTTATAATCTCCAATAACTTCAACCATGGGTACTGGAGTGATTTGGGTACTATGGTAAATGCTATCTGACCCACCCTTCCCTTCTGTCTTCCTTTTGTTTTTTGGAGGGGAACCTAGGACCTCACACAGCTAAGTAGGTCCCTAACAATGAGATAAATTCCCAGCCCATAAATGCTAGATCTATTTAAACAACAGTTTCAAATTATTGATGGTGTAGAGAAAAACAAGTTAACTTCTATACTGAATCATACAGCTAGTCCCTGTGGTATGTTCTTTCACATTTACTCTCTAGACAAAAGGTAGTCTATGTATTAGTCAGGGTTTTCTAAAGGAACAGAACTGATAAAATGCAAATATAAATATGTGTGTGTGGTGTGTGTGTGTGGACACTTACATATTTTATTTATTAGAGTAATTTACAGGCTGTGGTCCAGCTAATTCAACAATGACTGTCTACTAATGAAAAGTCCAAGAATCCAATCAGTTCAGTCCACGAGGCTGGATGTCTCAGCTGGTCTTCAGTATACATCAGAATCCTGAAGAAGTAGACTCTGTAGGCTAGTGAAGGAATGGACTTGCCAGTGAGAGTGAGAACAAGCAGGCAAAGGAACCTTTTTCCATGTCCTTACACAGGCGGACAGCAGAAGGTGTGGCCCAGATTAAAGCTGGATCTTCCCATCTCAGAAGAACCAGATTAGAAGTGGGTCTTCTCACTTTAAGTGATTTAATTAAGAAAATAATTTCACACAGATGTACCCCCACACTTGGGCTTTAGTTAATTCCAGATGTAATCAAGCTGACAACCAAGAATAGCCATCACACTCTTCTGGTACATTGCTTTACCAGGTGAATTTTCTTTACTGGCCAACATTGCAGTTTTACTTGTTTTTGTTTCGTTTTGCTTTTGAGACAAGCACCTCGTTATATTGCCCTGGCTGGTCTTAAAGTCACTGAGATCTGCCTGCCTCTGCTTCCTGAATGATAGGATTTAAAAGGTATGTACAAAAATGTCCAGCAATATTGCAGTCCTTTTTGCTTGTCTGTCACTTCCCTTTTTCTTCTGTAATTTTTTTGGAGATAATTTTGCTTTGGAGATCAGGCTGGTCTTGAATTCATTTTCCAGGTATGCAACACCATGTCTGGCTATTTCAAGTATAGTCTTATAAATAATAAGCATATAAATGTACATTCAAGCTTTTTAGTTATCATTTTATACAATGGTTTTAAACCTGTGGTGGGTCATGACCTATGGGTGGGGTGTCCTAATAACCCTTTCACAGGGGTCGCAGAGCAGATACTCTGCATATCAGATATTCATATTACAATTCATAATAGTGGCAAAAGTTGTTATGAAGTAGTAATGAAATAATTTTATGGTTGGGGGTTACTATAACATAAGGAACTGTATTAAAGAGTCCCAAGATTAGGAAGGTTGAGAACCACTGTTCTAACAGATACTTTTATTTTCATTTAATTTTTGTTTACTACGCTGACTTGTAGTTACTATGTAGCCAAGGTTAGTTTTGAACTTACATTGGTCCTACCTCAGCCTCCTGGGTGCTGGAATTACAACTATGAGATACTGCACCTTTTTATTTGTGGTTACTGACAAATTTTTATCATATTCCATTTTTTTAACAAAAGATTTTTTATGCACATGCGTGTCTGTCTGTGGAGGCCAGAAGAATTCATATCTCCTGGAGTTGTAGTTACAGGAGATTTTTAAGCCACTCTTGTGAATACGGGGCACTGGAATTTTGGTCCTCCGGAAAAGGAACAAGTATTTTTGACTGCTGAGCCATCTCTGCAGCCCTATTTCTATTTTTCTCAAAGACCTACTTATCTTTAATTATATGTAGATGTGTGTGTCTTTGTCGGGGTTTATATCTGAGTATATGTGCCCAAAGAGGTGAGAAGATGACACCAGGTTTCCTAGACGAGCTGTGAGCTACTGCCATGAATGCTGAGAATCGTATCTGGCCTTAGGGCTAGAGCAGTAGCCCTCTAGCCCCTACTTATATTTTTGGAGAAAGGTTTTCACTGTGTGAAAATTTGTTTTCAACTTATCTCAGTTTTCCAGGTAGCTACAACTACAGGAAAGCATCATAATGCTCAGTTTCAGTCTTGGCTTTAGTTCCTGGCTTTCTTTTCATCTGTTCCCAGATACTTGTGGCCAGGAATGTAGGGGTTACTGGACTGGTGGCTAAGCACCTGTAAACTAAGGCATATTATAGGAGGCTGAGGTAGGAAGATCACGAGTTCAAGGCCTGCCTGAGAAACTTAGGTCCTATCGCAAACGTGGTGATAGGGAAGCTACTCAGCAGCAGAGCATTTGTTTGGTGACCAGTCTCACACCAGCCTACATTCCAGGCCACAGTACCTGGGAACAGATGCCAAGACAACAAGAAACTTAGCACCTCTTCCCCATGCTAGGGATAAAATCCAGCAAGGATGCTAAAGTTGAAAGTTTCAGAATGCAGATTTGGTATGTGGTCCCTCTGGAGTTCCTTACAGTCTATGACATCAAAGCAGAATCACCTGTATTGACTTTGTATCTAACAATCTTGCCCAAAAACTTTAATAATTCAAGTGGAATATGGTGATGTATATCTATAATCCTACCAATAAGAAGATAGAAGCAGGAGGCTACACAGAATTTGAGGCCAGCATGGATTATAGGAGATCCTGTCTTTAAAAACAAACATACAAAAAAATTACTGAAAAAAATTAAAAAATTAATTTGCTTACAAGCTCATTTGGACTCTCTAAATATACTTACGCTACCGAGCAGTGGTGGCGCATACCCTTAATCCCAGCACTTGGGAAGCAGAGGAGGTGGATTTCTGTGAGTTTGGGGCCACTAGGTCTACAGAGAAGGTTCTAGGATAGCCAGAGCTGTCACACAGAGAAATCCTATCTTAAAAAAAAAAAAAAAAAGGTATTTTCTTGTTGCCACATTTATATAGTAAATGAAGCATCCTTGAATATGGTCCCAATTAGGTTTGTCATCAGAATAGCTGCGTGTATCTTTAATGTTACTTTTCTCCTTAAAGAAGGTCATATTAGTATGCTCAAATGCCACATGTACACGAGAATCATCTGCAAGGTGTCTAAGAACACAGGAGGCTAGAATCAGAAGTAGCAGTTTTGGAAGTTAAGTGAGTCTGCTGAATCAGGCTCAACCAGGGGAACCACCATCAACATAGAGAAAATGAAAGAGGAGAGTGAAAACGAAGTGTGTACGTAAGAACAGGTGTATGGGCGGCATGGGGTAGGGAATAAAGTTGGGCTGTTTGCTATTTGGCTTGTTCATGATATTCATCCAGGATGACAGAAATGTCACAGGAGGGTCACAGGAACAGAAAAACTAGGTAAGCTCAGCAACCAGGAATCCAAATGTCCTGACATGCAAGCCTCGTGTTACCTTTTGAAATACTCCACCTCCCGCTCAGTCTCATCCATATCCACACTGTCCAGGTCGATGTCTTTAGGCAGGAAAACATCATCTGTAAAGTAACGGAAGGAGACACATCACATTATCAAGAGTGGCCATCTCACCAGGATAAACAAAAGTGTAAGGTAAGATCCCACAAAAGGCCAGAAGGGCAGATTGCTCTTGTGAATACCTAAAGCCTCTCACCCATTACTACTTCAAAAACCCAGCAAAAAGATTCCCTGAGGGAACCCCGACTCAGAACTTAGGCCTTTCCAAATCAAGAGTACTGCCCTACTTTTCTTTGCAAGGCACCAGAGGGTCATTAGTTAAGGGACATTCATTCTACTTCCCAGAACCTCAGCCATATTTTTTCCCTGTTGTGCCCAGGACTGACTGAACATCGAGTCTCTTCCCCAAGTTCAGCTCAAGGTTCCAAGTATGCAATATCAATGAAAATGGAAAGGTAGAGGTAGTTCAAAGTTCTTTGTTAAAAATGAGCTTCAGTCACCCCAAATCATCACCCTAGTTCCTTCTATCATAGGCTTTTCCGCAGTGTCATTATTAAGGCAGCCGCCATCGTGACAACTCACAGGATTAGAGTACCAAGGACTGAGAGTGTCCATTCTGAAAAGAACAAGGCCAGAAGAGGACCTCTAGTTATCTAAACTCAGAAGGAAGGGAAAGACAAGGACACCTGCTCTAGACACCTGTACAGAATTGCATTCCAAATAGACCCTAAAGATTTAAGCAGTAAGATTTAAGGCAATTAAAAAAAAATGGAGTACAGACCCAAACAGAGAACTCTCAACAGAGGAATCTAACATGGCTGAAAGACACTTAAAGAAATGTTCAACATCCTTTAGTCATCAAAGAAATGCAAATCAAAACAACTCTGAGATTCCATCTTACACCTGTAAGAATGGCCAAGATCAAAAACACTGATGACAACTTATGCTGGAGAGGTTATGGGGAAAAGGGAACACTTCTGCATTGCTGGTGGGAATGCAAGCTGGTACAACCCCTTTGGATGTCAGGGTGGCGATTTCTCAGAAAATTAGGAAACAACCTTCTTCAAGACCCAGTAATACCACTTTTGGGTATATATCCAAAGGATGCTCAATCATACCACAAGGACATGTATGTGCTCAATTATGTTCATAGCAGCTTTGTTTGTCATAGCCAGAACCTGGAAACAACCTAAATGCCCCTTGACCGAAGAATGAATAACAAAAATGTGGTACATTTAACACAATGGAGTACTACACAGCAGAAAAAAAAATAACAGCTTGAATTTTGCAGAAAAATGGATGGAGCTAGAAAACATCATTTTGAGTGAGGTAACCCAGACCCAGAAAGACAATTATCACATGTACTCACTCATAAGTAGTTTTTAAACATTAAAAAAAAAAACCAGCCTACAAACCACAATCCCAGAGATCCTAGACAACAATGAGGACACTAAGAGAGACATACATAGATCTAATCTACATGGAAAGTAGAAAAAGACAAGATCTCCTGAGTAAATTGGGCGCATGGGGACCATGGAAGAGGGATGAAGGGGAGGGGAGAGTTAGGGAGGGAAGCAGAGAAAAATGTATGGCTCAATAAAATCAATAAAAAAATTTTAGAAAAGATTTAAGCAGTAGTAACAAAGAGCACAGAAAGAAGTTGGCACGGCAGTGAAGACCTGTTATTCTAGTCATTACAGTCTGGCTACATAAAAACCTATCTTAAGAAAAGAAAAAAGCAAAATAGCTAATGAGATGGCTTATTGAGAAAAAGCACTTGTTGCCAAGTCTTGACTGCAATAATGTTGTAGGAGAGAACCAACTTCTGTGAGCTGCCTACTGACCTCCATACTTGCTCTGTAGCAAGTATGTGTTAATGTGCTCCAGAAAACAAGTTAATAAATGTAAAAAGGAGAATACTAAATAATCAAAAGCAAAGATGATCATACACATGCAAACCATGAAGTGACAACAAAGCGCTGGCCTTGTCTGGAGAAGACATGCTGCAGGTGTGTGAGGATGCAGCTCAGCAGCCTCTTCTCAGCCTCAGGACAGGGGTAACCACACCACACACTGAGCACAGCGGTGCAGGTGTAGTATTCCAGTGTCTAGTGCATGCTCTCCTAAGCAGAATTAGCAGTCTCAAGTAAGCTTAGCTTAGCTTAGGGGTGTTTGTGCAGTATTCATGAAACTCTGTTCTTAATCTCCAGTACTAAACATAAATTGGACATGGTGGTACATCCCATGTAATCCTATAATCCCAGGACTCAGGTGTAGGCAGGAAGATGAGAAGTTCAAAGTCATTGTCAGATACATAGAAAGTTGGAGGCCTGCTTGGATTACATAAGACCCTGTCTCAAAAACATAAGTATTTATAAAACCTTAGTATAAGAAGCTGTATTTAGTTCTGAGAACAGTTTTTTTCCACAGCATATTAAAATGCAGATGTGACTCAAGAATTTTAAATCCAATGGAACCCTACTGTCACTGTCAATGAGGAGGAATTCAGATAGGAGGGGGCATGCTGAGGCTGTGCTCTACTTATCAGAGGACCGGGGCATTTAAAGGTAATGTGGGATGTCTCTCTATATGCTTTGAATATGTTTTACTACCAATGCTTAATAAAGAAGATGATTTGGTCAAAAGCCAGGCAGAATAGAGTCAGGCAGGAAATCTAAGCAGAGATCCAGGGGGAAAGAAGGCAGAGTCAGGGAGACGCTAGCGAGGCTGAGGAAGCAAGATATAAAGTAACAAGCTATGAGCCATGATAATAATAGAAATGGGTTAATTTAAGTTGTAAAAACTAGTTAATAATAAACTTGAACTAATAGGCCAAACAGTGTGTAATTAACAGTAAGCCTCAGAGTGGCTCTTCAAGAACTGGTGGGTAGGATAGAAATGTCTAGTTATACTCAGGGGGTTAAGGCAGGAGGACTTTCAAGTTTGATGCTAACCTGGACAATTTAGCAAGATTCTTCCTCCAAAAAAGTGGAGATGCACCTTAGTGGCAGAGTGCTTCTTGTATAAGTATCACAAATGCCATAAGCAGAAATACATCTGTATCTCAGGTTCACATGAGACATTCACAAAAGCTGACACCTAAGAATTCTGGTCTAGTTAGGACTACAGTTCACAAAGGCCATGGGGCTATTGGGAAGTAATGAAAACTATGGATGTGGCGACTACAGGAAAGAAGTTCGATCATTGGTGGGAACATTCTTGCAGGGATCAGTGGCTTTTTACCTCTTCCCTCCATCTCTCTGCCTCCCAGTCATTGTAAGTTGGGCTGATTATATCTGCCATCAATGCTGTCTCACCACAGGCACCAAAGCAATAAGAGACTAAAATCTTCAAAACTGAGAGCAAGGGCTGGAGAGATGGCTCAGCGGTTAAGAGCATTGCCTGCTCTTCCAAAGGTCCTGAGTTCAATTCCCAGCAACCACATGGTGGCTCACAACCATCTGTAATGGGGTCTGGTGCCCTCTTCTGGCCTGCAGGCATACACACAGACAGAATATTGGATACATAATAAATAAATAAATAAATATTTTAAAAAAACTGAGAGCAAAATAAACTTTCCCTCTTTAGAGGTTGATTACCTCAAATATTCTGTTTTAATAATAGAAAGCTATACATAAGGTTGCAAATGGAGTGATCTGTACAATGCAGGATATAGAAAAGTTCAAACACTGTAACCATAATGCAGCAAGGGGAAAGAACACTTAGAAATGAATAGGCCCTCCCACCTAGAAACTCAAGCTGCTAACATGCTACCAGGTGAACAGAGAAAACATACACACACACACAGCTAACAACATGGAAACCATAGAATTTCAAACAACTTAGTGAAAAATTATCTGTAAGACCACAGAGCCAAGTATGGTGACACTAGCCTGTGATCCCAGCATTAAGGAGGAGGTGGTGACATCAGAGATAAAAGCCAGCCGGACAACATACAAGTGTGCAGCAAGCCTGAGCTCCCTAATAAGACCTTGTCTTAAAAAGATTTTTTTTTTTGGATAAATTAATCATTAGTGGAAAACCCCAAACACTTTTATCAATAAAAAAGGAAGAGGAATGAAAACAAATTAAACTTCTTTCTTTTCTTTCCTTTTGAGACATTCTCTCCACATAGCCTTGGCTGCCCTTGAACTCACAAACATACATTTGCCTTTTTTTTTTTTTTTGGCTTCTGGAGTGACACCTGGCCCCAAACTAATTTTCTAAATAAAAAGTTAGACAATGAACAACAAAATAACAAACAAGAAAACAACAACAACAAAACCACATGGAAAAGGTAAAACCAGAAAACTATAGAGGGAAAAAGGGGAAAAAGGGGGAAATCTGAGGTAAAGCAAAAACAAAATCTATTAAAAGGCACAGATTACTAACTAAAGCAAAATCAAAACACAAAGTGAGAAACGGTTAGGAGAAAAAAAGTTTAAGTGTTAGACCACTGATCAGGAATCCAAGTTCAGCCTTGGCTATACAGCTTGGGCCACGTAAGAGCCTGTCCTGAGCAAGTAAACAAATCTTAATATACTTTATAGACTGCATACAAAATTTGAAATTTTAGCTGAAAAGGTAAATTTAAAAAATAGTCTTCCAAAATTAACCTCATCACTTGAAGAAATATAAGATTTCCATGGGAAGAGACAGAATGCTGTTAAGTTTCTAAAAAACCTTATTACTTCGTTCCAATGCAGCCTGAAGGTGTTCCAGAGCTGAAATAAGAAAATTCAAAGCTCTCTAATTCCTTTAAAGAAAATATGATTGACACTCCCACCATGTGCAAATACAGAAGTAATTAAAAACATCAACAAAAGGGAAAGTTACAGACCCATGACTATCAAGACAATAAAATAACACAAATAGAATCTCAACCAAAGAATATAATTATCACATGCAAGTGGTAATTATTACAGGAATTTAAGAATAATAACAATTATGAACTGGCCAGAGAAGAAAAATCATAATTACCGCAGCAGGTGTAAGAAAAACTTTGAAAAACTTCAACATACTTTCCTCATAAAAACATTCAAGAAATTTAAGAGTCACTGGCTCCTGTCCTAGCATTAGGTGGAATATCTAAGTCTCTGTCCTAAGGTCAGCATCTCAGTCAATGTGGAAACATTTCAATCACTTCAGGAAGAATGTAACTTGGTCCAAGGCTTGGAAGAGAGGTTTTGTGTCATTGCGCACACCTTTAATCAGTGCTGGATACAAAGAAACAAGACAGACCTCTCCAGGCTAGCCAGAACTACATAATGAAACCTTGTCTCAACAAACAAAGAAACAAACAGTAACAAAAGAAACACACACCCCCAACAAGCAAGAACCCCAAAGACTGGAAATATAGCTAAGTGGTTAGAAGCATTAGCTACTCTTCTGAAGATCCAGGTTTGCTTCCCAGTACCCATACAGCAGCACATTACCATCTGTAACTTGAGTTCCAGGGAAACCTGACACTCCTCTGGACCTAACAGGTACCAGGCATGCACATGCTAGATTCATATAGGTAAAACACCCATACACATAAAAAGTTAAAATCAAGCTGAGCATGGTTATACATGCCTTTAATTCTAGCACATAGGCAGGAAGGCAGAGGCAGGCAAATCTCTGAGGCCAGCCTGGAAAAAGACACAAATGACTAAAATTTAGAAATAAATAGAAAGTTGGGTGGTAATGGTATCTGCCTTTAATACCAGCACTCAGGAGGCAGAGACAGGTAGATCTCTGTAAGTTAGAGGCCAGCCTGGTTCACAGAGTGATTCCAGGACAGTCAGGGCAGTCACACAGAGAAAAACTCTATTTCAAAAAACAAAACAAAAAACAGGAAAAAAAAAAGAAATGAAAGGGAGATGACATTGTAACATAAATGAATGATATACAGAAAGTCTTAAGCATCTATTTTTAATCCTCTATTCCACTAAATGGGCAATATAAAAGAAATGGATAGATTCCCAGATGCATACAACATTCCTAAATCAAAGACACAAATAAATAATTCAAATATATCTATAACCAGCCACAAGATTGAAACAGTAATAAAAAGCTTCCCACATTAGAAAAAGCTCAAGACTAGAATTGTAGTAAATTTTATCTAAACTTCAAAGAAGAACTAATGTCAATACTACTTAAATTATTCTATAAAATAGGAAGTAAGGCTTCCAAACTCTTCTGAGTCCAGTATCACCTTGATACCAAGCCCAGATAAAGACATAACAACAATGATAGAAGAGCTGGGCATGGTGACACACACCTTTTGTCCCAGCACTTGGGAGGCAGAGAATCGGAATCTCTGAGTTCAAGGCCAGTCTGGACAGTTCCCAGATAGTCAGGTCTACATAGAGAAACCCTGTCTTGAAAACAAACAAAACCAAAACCAAAATAAGCAGATCAAAAGAAAGAACTGGAAGAGTGGGACTAGTATGTAGCTAGGTAGTAGAGGACTTGCCACAAAGCCCCAGGTTCAATTCTCACTGCTACAAACAAACCAGGAGGCTCAGAAGTGCAAGGTCACTCTAAGCTACGCGAGTTGGAGGCTGGAGGCGATCTTGAAATACACAAGACATTATCTTAAAAAAAATTTTCTGAATGTGGCTGGCCTGCAGTCTTACTGAGAAGCCATTGACAATGACACTGGGACTGGTTTCCTCTGCATATACTGGATTTTTGGGATCCAGTCTGTTTGGATGCTCACCTTCCTGGACCTGGAGGGAGGGGGGAGGAACTTGGACTTCCCACAGGGCAGGAGACCCTGACTGCCCTTGGGGACAAAGAGGGAGGAGAAGAGGGAGGGGGGGAGTGGGAGGGCGTTGGGAGGAGGGGCGTAAATGGAAACTCTTTATAATTTAATAAAATTACTTTCAAAAAAAAAAAAAAACCACAAACCACACAGCAGCAACCACACACACAGACAGAGAGAGAACGAGTCCAGTGTATGTGTGCAGGGGAGTACACATCAGTCATCCCTGCCTACAGATTCACGATGTGCCTACATCAGTAAACTACAGTGACTGATAAGACCTGAACAGTGAGGCAATTTAGTAAAGCAAAGGATGTGAAGTGTACACACACATACAAACACACACACACACACACACACACAAACAACAACAACACAGCTTCACATAACCAACCAGTTAAGCTGCACTGGCTAATAGAAATACAATTTGAGCCACATATGTTTTTAGGAGTCATATTTTAAAATTTAAAAAGAAACATTATATTACATTATAATTAATATGAAACTGTATTATGGTAAAGGATGTAGCTCAGGGGCACAGTGCTTTTCTAACATGCAAAGGCTATGAGTTTCAATCTTAGCACCGAAAAATAAATACATGGAGATATTTCATCCATCTTAAAATTAAGTTCCAAAATGCAATACATACTTTATAGTTATACTCACATTATAACTCATATAGAAGAACAACAAAATACCAAAACAAAATAAAAAACACGAAGAGGCGAGAAGAGCCAGTAAAATACAGAGACTCTAAAAATAACAATTCATAGCAATAAACACAGGATAGATCATTAAGCACATACACAGATTTGCTGAAGAAGGGCAGCACTGTAGGCCATGAGGACAGGATGAGTTTCTTCATAAATGCTTCAAGACAACTGTGTAACCATTTAGAAAGAGAGAATAATGAGCCCATACCTTACCTCATACCCAAGAATAAACCCCAACTGTATTCAAGATCTCTATGAGGGGAGGGAAAAGAAACCACACAAACTCTAGAGAGAAACATGTGTATCTTCCTCCCAGTAAATCAAGTCCACAAGAAACTTTAAGAACTAGGAGAAAAATCTTGGCAGCACTGGACACAGGTGAAAACTCATATGCCTAATATGTTAAGATTTCTTAAATAACAAAATTCTAGTTGAAAAACAAAACAGGAAAAACGTATATGTTGGAAAGTTTTTTTTTATCAGCTTTACACAGGTTAGAGTCATTTTGGAAGAGGGAAACTTAATTGAGCAAATGACCCCAGTAGACTGAACTCTGAGCAAGCCTGTGGTGCATTTTCTTGATTGATGTGTGAGGGCCTAGTTCATTGTATGGATGCTGCTACTCCTGGGATGGTGGTACTGGGTGTTATAAGAAAGCAGGTTCAGCAAGCCATGAGGAGCAAGCCAGTAAGAAGCACTCCTTTATGGCTTCTTGCCTCAGTTCCTGCCTCCAGGTTCCTGCCTTGAGTTCCTGTCCTGATTTTTCTGGATGACAGACATCAAGTTCTAAGATGAAATAAATCCTTTCTCCACAAGCTGCTTTAGTCAAGATGTTCTATCACAACAGAAATTCTTAATTAAAACAAGATATGAATAGAAAAATTTACAAAAAGGCACACAAGCAAACTTTCTATAAGTTTACTAACCTTACTGCAAATTAGATGGAAATGGCCATGAAAACCACTCCTAGGAGTGATTCCAGCTAATAGGTTGGTAAAAAGCTAAAAAGCCTAGCATGAAACTCCAGGCTGGGCTGTGGCGGGTCAGGAGAACACAGGTGGCTTGCAAGAGGGCCTCCTGAATGGCTGGAGGAATGTGGAGGCATCCCATAAAATAACTGTACACTTGCCATCTGAGCAGAACTCCCTTTTTTGAGCAAGCACTCTAAAGATAAACCTGCAGTCAGGAAGACAGACGTGAACAGCATTATACCCAGCACTGTGTGAAATTATAAAGCTCTGGGAACAACCCAATTAACTTTTCCACAAAAAGAATGCAGCACATTCGAAACATTTGTAAAAAGCAAGGAAGAATTCTTTGAACAGTTATCAAAGTGCTCCCCAGAAAAAAATTAAAAAGGAAAACCAGCAAAAGGCAAAAGAATATGGAGCATGTTACTTTTATGTACCAAACAGGAAGTGCATACTTCACCAGAGTGTAAGGACAGAAAATTTTGCAACTGCTTCAAGAATGTTCTAGACCCATGTAAGACAGTAACCATGTGAATAGATCAAGTTCTCACTATCCAATGACACCTGAAAACATATACCATGCACTGGAGCGTCATGGGAACTCACTGTGACAGAGAAAACAAAACTTACTAACTTTAAGATGGGAACCATCAATACAAATGTAGTAGAAATGAGCATATATAACCTCAACCCAAAAAGACCAAGGATGGGATGGATGTTATAGCTGCCGTCTTCCTTACCCTCCAGGTTTGTACCTGTGGATTCAACTAACCACAGATCAAAAATACATTGAAAATGTATTTTGCACTTTTATAGCTTTTTATGTCCAAAATTATTTCAAAATAATAATAACATAGCAGCTACAATTATTATTGTGAAAAGCCATAGATAAGCAACATCCCACCTGCAGGGGCCTGCAGAGAGCTCACACACATAGAACAGTATCAGCCAAAGCTTGGAATAGTTCCCTTATGATCTTTATTTACCAATTGAACTGCTGGTTCTGTCTCCTTTCTTCTTTTTATTTTTCTTATTCTTGCCCTTGGGCTGAGGAGAACTTGCCAGAATCAGCCTGCCATTCTGCAGGAGATGACTAGGGGAGGGTGGCTCAGGAGTGACAGTGTTCAGCTTCTCCTCTTTGATGTGGCTCAGCTGCTTTTTGTTGTTGTTGTTGCTGTTGGCCTTCCTCTCCTCTCTCTTCTGCTCTGTGAGGAGAGCAAGGTCAACTATTTTAGGCTTTAACTCAGGCTGGGCCCGGGTCTTGGGCTGTACCTCTGTGGTTTTGGGAGGATCCATGGGCTTCCTGGCTGGCTCATTGCTAGTCTTGCTGGTCTGTTTTAACTTTTGTTTGCTGTTTCCCTCCTTGTGATGATGCATCATGTCCAAGAGAAACGCAAGAGGCTCGTGCTGCTTCCCATTGACTTCCTTGGGTAGCAGAAGCTTAGAGTCTCTGGGGTCCATGGGGTCTGTGGCATCCCCATTGGCTCCAGGCCCTGGCCTAGGCTCTGAGTGGTTCATATGTCTGGAAGGGGAGTGAGATGAGGTTTCTGGTTCTTCAATTTGTTCTACTGAGCCATTGTGGATGTTTTCAGAGTTAGAGATAGACTCTGCTGCTGCCTGGAAATTTCTAGCAAGCATTTCCAACTTGGAACAGTCTTTACTTGGCCGCTCCTTTTTCTTCTTTTTTGCAGCTCTTAACTTCTGAAGCTCCTGAAGCCGCTGAAATTCCTCCTTGAAACGCTGCTCCTCATCTTCCTCCTCTTCTTCCTCCTCATCCTCCCGTTGCTTTTGCTCTTCCTGATGCAGATGCTCCCGTGCCCTGGCCTCAGCTTCCAGGCGTGCCTTCTCTTCCAGCTGTCAATGAAAAAAAAGAGAAGATGGCTTAAGACCATGATAAGAACTCTAAAACTTGGCAGGGCTGCTAAGGTGGTTCAGCAGGTAAAGACACTTGCCTGACGAATTTGAATTTGACCCAGACCCACATGGTGGAGACTCATCCTGTAATAGTTGTCCTCTGACTTATATACATATCATGATGCTACCTTCTCTCCACATAAGTAAGACTAATTAAAAAAAAAAACCTTGAGATATCAATCACATATTGCAAAATAAATTTTGAAAGAGACAGTAACAACTAAAAACTTAAATATACCTACTTGCAATTATTTCACCCTACAGAACTCTTGGATCTCATCTATCTACTGAAGCATACACATATTTTACTGGGAACAGGGCAACTAACAGCATCGGACCAAGAGCTAGATACTGGGAGCAGTCAAGGCAGCTGCTGCGCTGTGTGTGCAGCACCCAGAGAGCTGAGCATTTCTTTATGTGGAAGGCAAGGAATCAGCTTACTGACTACACAAGCTCCTGACAAACTTAGCTGTCCAGGTGAGAGATAAAGCTAACATGGGGACCTGCAAAAATAAGACAAAAACAAAATTTGTCCAAAAACTAAAAAATAAAAACAAACAAAAACCTTTCCCATGCTGGAAGATAGTCCCAAAATATGCAGACTTTCACAAGGGCAAGGGTTTTCAGAAATATTTACCATCACACAGCAAATGTGGCTCCAGTGCATTTCTGCTTTCCAGCTTGATGGAAAGAAGTTTCACCAACTGAAGATTTCATTTTATTAATGATACAAGACCACGGGTCAAGTCCTGACACAGAACGGAACCTCGGCAGAGGTGAAGATTGCTCAGGTGTTTCCACCAAGAGCAGCTGGCTAACTTTAACCTTTATAACGTTGATGTTATTAACTGTCCTTTAACTAGACGGGCCAGTAGTCAGAACAAGAATGTAGGAATGTAGGAGGTCTGTTAGGAAAGGCACATGCAGGCCCTGCGGGCCAAGACTCAGTTTCATACCAAAGGCATCTCCTCATTCTCAGCTTCTAAACCTCAGAGAGTCCTATCTATTCCCCATGACCAAAGCTATTCCTTCTGTCTCTTTGGAAGGAAGGTTCCCACAAAGGTGGAGACTCTTGTGGTCCCACTGGCCAGGGAAGCCTCCATATAGACTACTACAAACTCACTGTTCAGAAAACATAAAGTGATAGAGCTTCTAGATGAGGCTGTCTGAGACAAACAATTGCATTCTCAGAGCACAGGGCCAGGGCAGGCATGTCAAACAGTCCTGCTTTCTGAAATGTGTATCTGTATGCCCGGAAATGGAGGGTTGTTACTTACCTTCCTCTGCTTGTGCCTTGCTCGTTTGGCTGCACGACTACTACTAACTGGCTTGGCCTCTGAGCTGTTTATAAACTGTAGTAAATCCTCCACTCTTCGATGGTCAACTACACCCTCCCGTTCTGATATCTGCTCCATTTTCTTGGGTTGTTCTTCCTTCCTCTTGGTCAGCCGTAAACGAAGTTTTTCCCTCATTTCTGCATAATTTCTGCTTGTTGGTGCAGCTGGAGGCTAAGGTAAGAATATAACTAAATTAGACCTCAAGTTTTAACAACTTTGAATATAACATTAAATTTCAGAACTTCTCTCCCAAAAAAAACCTGTTTAAACTTAATATTAAAAATTACTTAAATAAATAGCATATAATCATTGTAAAACAAAAATATAGGCAATAATATGAAAGGCCTATTTATTAATGAAAAGCCTAATTATTACCATGTAACCTAAAAGTTGAGTTTTGGCAACTACCTTTTAACTTGTTATACATCTGTGAAAATTCAGCAAAATACAAAACGATTTTTTAAAGCTAAAAAGCCACAACACATATATTTTATATGTCTATTTTTACTTAGTATAATGGGTTTATTATCTTCCCCACCACCAGAGTTGAGGGCCAACTTTGCACTGACTAGGCAAGAGCTCTACCACTAAACTAGTGAGCTAAAGTCTCAGCTCTGGAATTATCTTTTGATGCTAATAAATCTCTTCAATATTTACTTTTCTTTTTAGTGTTAAAAGGGAAATAAAAGGGAAAAACACCTCATTCTTAGTCCTACTACCAATTTCTTATTATTTAAAATCACACATCTTAGGAAATGGAGATAGAACAAAACAAAAACAAAACAAAACATACATGCACCTTCATTTCTTATTTCTCCCTCCTAGGGACCTTGGGGAACCCTGGTTGTATAAGTACAGCTCTGGCTCTTCAGTGTTGTACAAACATGTGGTGTGCCAATACCTTTTGCACTCATCCAACAAGGTTACCACTATCCATAGACTGCATGAGCCAAACTATGGTGGGGTTTAGTCAACAACCTCCTTCACTGACTATCTAAAAATCTCATAAATAAATACAAACAAAAACACAGGTGGCTTAGTTTTGTAACCATAGCACCAAGGAGCCCAAAGCATAAGAACTGCTGCAAATTTAGGACCAGTCTGGATACATCATGAGTTCCAGGTCAGCCTAGAACATGGAGAGACACCCTGTCTGAAAAAACAGAAACAAATACCACCAACAAAAACACAGTGGTAAGAGAAAACCTGCAGTGATGAAATCCTGTTTCTTTAGGTAAATACAATCTGGAAGTGCATATAAAATCTTAGACATTGATATACTTTGATAATATTCATCTTCTGCTATCCTCTCTTATCCTCTGGACCCTTTATTCCCAACGAGTCCCCTTCCTATCCTACTTTATGTCTTTTTGAATAAATGGCCCACTAAAGGGCTGGAGGGATGATGGCTCGGTGGCTAAGAGCACAGACCGCTCTTCCAGAGGACCCAAGTTCAGTTCTCAGCACCCAGCTCACAATCATCTGTAACTCCAGTTCCAGATCAGACGCCTCTGATAACCACAGGCACCTGTAGTCACATGAACATACCCACATACAGTTACTCATGACTACACAGAATTCAAAATAATAAAAACAAATCTAACACACAATTCTTGCCAAAGGCTGCAAGTCACACAACTGTCAAATCACAGTACACTAACTACATGCACTTACCCCGCCATGTCCGAAGAACTCACAGTAGCAGCAGTCACAGTACTTGCCCTCCTTCTGGTTGGTGGAAGTTGAAGTGCTCGAACTGTGCTCGGAGCAGCTGTCCTCATCTGCACTCTCATCCCCATCATCCTGCTGCGGGTCATAGACACCATTCTCGCAGCGGTGCCCTTCACAGTCAGGGTCACTGCAAAACCACATACAGAACATTAGCAAGTAGCCATCCCAGAGGCACTAATTATTCCTCATGCCCACCCACTGTTCAGCTTAATTTTCAGACCAAGGCAGCAAAGAGGGCTCATGGCTCTGGGGTCAGAGAATCATGTGCCATCAGCCAAGACAGTGTGATTACTGGGCTCAGTTAGGAGATAGGCAGACATGTGGTCAGTAGTCATAGCACACCTACAGTGTCACCGGATGAACACATGACTTTTCTGACTTCCCTGAGACCACTGGTTTCATAATGGGGGTTATGAAGGACGTGCTTCTAACAGGCAAAGTCAAAGGTAACAGAAATAATCTTTTATAAAAATCACTGTGTGTGGTATTAGTTTAAGTACATAAATCTTGTAAATTGTCTGCAGATTCTACCCAATGAATAGCAAAAACAACTTAAAAAAACAAGCAAGGCACACCACACCCTTAATGCCACCAGTGGAGATAGTCAGCATCCCTGACCCTGGTCTTGGCAGCCGGGCCATTGTTCTTTCCTCTGAAGAACTAGAGGCTGAGATTGAGACTGGAGCCTCTCCAACTCCACGGCCTTGGCCTCTGTTGGTGAGGTCTCTTTCTTCTGCACTGGACTTGTTACCTGCCTGGACCCAGAGCACAGTCTGTAGCTATGTTAGTGCAGCATGGCTCCCAGCCCTCCTCACAGGCACCAGGGCTCTGTGGCTCACCTGCAGACACTGGGAGGGGCACTGATGGAGCCATCTGTCGTGGAGGGCGGGGGTGCCACAGGGGTAGGACAGAAGCTCTTTCGTGTATCCACGAACCCAGGGGCTGTGGTTGCAGTTTTGGGGAATGATGGGGCAGCAAGATTTGGAAGGTGAGGTGTGGAGGCTGGAGAAAGTGCAGCAGGAGACAAAGCTGGGAGTGGGGCCAGGCCTGTGGGGCTGTTCCTTGGAGCAGCAGGTGCTGGGTGTCTGTGGTCCTCTTTGTTGAGGCCATGAAAAACATCACCTGCAGGTAGAGATACAAGAGAGACTGCCACTGGCTGAAGAAAACAAATATTTAGGTTGCCTTTAATTACATTTCTTTCCCCATTTTTTTGGGGGGTGGGGGGGGGGGTTTGGGAATGTTCAGACCTACAGAAACCAAAGAACACCCACTCATCTTCATCCTGACTGGTCACATTTACTTTATTTCCCACATATATCAGATCTGGTCCTAACATCTGTAGTAAGCTGTGCTCCAGCCTGAGCTCTTGAGAGCCTACAAGTTTACAAAGAACCTGAGATTTCTCCATAGTGGGCACCAGCATTCATAAGCCTGGAGGTCAGATTGCACATATAACCTAAATCTAAGCTCCTAACTTTACCAAGGTCATCAAAGCTTCTCTAACTAATTCAGTGGCTGCTTAAAAATTCCTTTCACAAGACATATGTTTTTCAAGAGGCCAGCTGTCCACTGGTGTGATTTATCTTATCACATCGGGGTGAAACATTTTAGACTTAAACTGTACAAAGATAAACTACATAGAGAATAAATGATCTTTGTTACATTTTGGGGTCTGTCAGGTTTATAGTTGCCAGCTTCCTCCTCAGGGGGTGCCCATCATCACTCATAATGGGTCAGAGTCCATGGAAATGTTATGTTTGCCAAACTGATAGTCAGTATTCTTAATGTTTCCTGAAGGACTGGAGATGTGGCTCAATGGTAGCATGTTTGTCAATTAAGTGTAAAGATCTGGTTGATGCACTATACTGTATGCAAGCGTGTGCTTTCTCTCTTACACGCATAAAAGGGTGGTGTGTGGGCTATTTAGCTGGTTACTACAGTACAAGCCTTGGAAGGCTGAAGAAAGAGGATTGCTATGGGTTTGAGACTGGCCTAAACTTAACACCGAGAGACCCTGATTCACCTCCCACCTGCCCAAAAACAAAAGAAGCACTCTTTTTGATGCCTGGTGTCAATTATCAACTTGACAGAATCTGAAATCCTCTAGATGGGTGAATGGGCATGCTTGTGGAGGATTATTCTGATTAACTGATATGGAAAGATCTATCTTAATTGTGAGCTTCGTGAACATGCAGAACTGGACTACATACTTTGAAGACAGTAAACTTAGCATGTGCATGCATTCATTGCTCCCAGCTTCCTGGTTATGGATGCAATGTGACCAGTTGCTTCAAACTCCAGTAGCCTTGATTTCCCTTGCAGGATAGATATGACCCCTTTTTTCTTGGGTTGCTTTTTTCAGAGTATTTTGTCACAAGAGGAAAAGAAACAGAAATACTCCCTGATTAGGCTGACCTATGTCATCTAATGGACCGCTGACTGCAGCGCAGAAATTTTGTTTCTACTGTATGTTTCTACAAAGAGAAGTTTCTTAACCTTAGGAGCCTCTCTAAATATCCCAAGGGATTCCTGACTTTGATTGTCAAGGTTCATCATATTCTTTTTCATGCCCTTCAGAAAGGCAGACAATCATGATTCTTTCTGATGCTCAAACTGCCTCATCATTGGTTGATGAGGTACAAACCAGCTCCTGTGTCCTCAGACATTTACCCTAAGTCTCTATAAACATTTCTTTGCTTTTAGGTCCCTTCTAACTGTCAATAAGTGGTTAGTGTGAATGCTAGCAGGCTAATAATCTTGTTGGCTTACACAAATCCTCTTTTGCTCAGCAGCAGCTGTGCTCAGAAAGCAATGATCTATGTCCATCACAGAAGACAGAGGCAAGACACAGACCTCAGCAACCCAAGGGTATTTTGAATAGCAGCTAAAATTCCAACCAGAATTCACAGACCATCTTTTTATTTACAAGCACCTTCAGGTATTTTCATTTCCACCTCTAGAAAGGCAAAATAAACAGTAACAACATGGGTGGTGTAAAAAGTGAGAAGCTGAAAGGCTCTCGGGGTTCTTACCTATGGAAGGCGGCCTTCTGGATGACACCTTGAACTGACTGCTGCTAGATTGCACTGTGGTGGCCGTGCATGACACAGAGGATGTAGCTGAGGAGGTGGCCATGGCGACTGTGTTTGCCATGGCAACTTCATTTGCTTCCATAAAAGCATCTTGGAAATTGTATAAACACTTCTTTTTTGCAGCATTTTTCTTCTCTTTGATATCTGAAACTGCAGGAGCTTCATTGCTGGGTGGAGGTGGAAGGGCTTCAGGTCTTGTTTCTGAGAGCACTGGCCCTAATATATCACTCCCTTTGGAGAAGAATGGGAAAATTAAGGCTTCTAAAAGAAACAGCACTTAGTTAAAAACCCCAAAAGAATATGCAGACACTGGGGCCACTACTGAAGCCAAGACTTCTCTGGAATGATGCTTTTAGTCTATGGAATGTTTATTGAGCACCTATTATGTGCCAATTCCCGTGCTAGGTGTTTTCCAGTATCACTGAATGCCTTAAAACCAACTCTTGAGGTTGAAAATGTTATTCCCATACTAAAGATGAAGAAACTGAGGCTCAGAAAGGCTAAGCAACTTGCCTAAGGTCACACAGCTAGAAATCCCTTCAAACATAGATCAGAATGTCAGGCCTAGCTTCTGTTCTGAGCACATTCAGGATTGGGTGTGGGGCTTTGGCCACCTGAGGGGAGAAAGGTGTAGGGACCCACCCCTCCCAAGTGACCCTGGACCTAAGACTGAAGTAACGGTTGAGCCTCAGTAACTGAGGCAGCTGGGGAGAAGGTGCTTGTTAGAGGGGAGAGAGCCCCTTAGGGTTAATACAGAAACCAACAAATAGGAACTTGAGTCACAGAATTCAAGAAGGTGTGCCACTACCTTTCTGCCCCCATGCACTGAGCTGAGGTCTGGTGGTCACCACTATTTGAGAACTGCAGGTCAGACACAGCCCCTGGAAACAGATCCTCTGTGGCTGGGCAGCACCATGTGGCTCACTGTGCTGGCAGGTAGCATGGAGCCAGCGTTAGCTTTGTTAATCAATGCAGTGGACCCATCAGTGCAGATGTGGAAGGGTGGATGGGATGCCAGGCCCCAGAACCTCCCGCTGGGGAGTGTGATGATGACCATCTTAATTGGTTCAGCGTATTTAAAACCTTAAGAAAGTTTTAATGAATTCCTTACCAGAAATTGTATCTGGCAAGAAAGTGCCAGGATTCCAGTTCTTATCATTCATCACTTCTGATCCCCAAAGACTTATAAATTTAGAACTATTCCACTCTGGAGTGTTCCCAAAACAGCTCGGGTAAATATGGTCTTGAAGAGATGCATTGAATGCCTGAGGCTTATTTGTGTGACTCTGAACAGGTGCTGGCGGTAAAGCCTACAAAAAAAAAGTTCTAATCACATATCGAAATTAATATTCTGTATACCTGTGTAGTTCAACTACAAACAGAGAAATTGTGGCTGAAACCTTGAGGGCTATGCTTCCCGCAAGCCCATGTCCATGGGGAGTACATCTCACAAATGCTGGAGTGGAGGGTTACTTAGGAAGGCTATACATGTAGGTCGACCTTTAGTCCAAAGGTTCTTGATGCCTTCAGATAACTCAGCCACTTCTAACAGTCCTGTCTAGTCACACTTTAAATGTGGTTCATATACATAAGAGCTATTCTGTGGCTGAAGTCTCCTTAGACGTATTGATCAACACTGTCAAATCAGTTTGGAAGCACTAATAACAATGGTAAGGTCTTTGGCTCTCAACTCTTAGAGCTGTGTAGCACAGATCTCAAGAGCTGAGGAATTCTGGTTGTGCTCTGAAACTGGGGTGCTGACTTACTCCCATTTCCAGGGAGAAAGTCATTCCAACCTCATCAGCATACTGGCCCAGGCCCTGAAAGGTCAGGGAAATGGAATGGGAAACAGTCAGTGGGCCAGTCAGCAATGCATATTTACTGAGTGCCACGTTGCTGTACACACCCATGTGCCCTAGGGCTCTCCCTACTTGATACCTAAGAAAGTCCTGAAAGGGCTGTGCAAGTCATACAGTTGCACTGCCATGCTGGCTTTCACATAGGGATCTGGGTCTCCTACCAGTCCTTTTGCTCAAGTGACCTTTACTTAGAATGTTGAGGTAGCTTTCTACTACTTTTTAGATAAAAGTCAAAGTCCGTCCATGGCCCATGACATCCTAGGGAAATAAACACCTTCTCCTCCTTGCTCAGCAAGCCTGGCCACACACAAACCTTCCTTTCTGGTTTCCATCTCTCTTAACTTCTCTTCTGTTCTCACTTGTGTCTAAACTCTGAAACCTCTTCACGTACACTCACTCCCAAGCCTCAGCCCAGATGCCACTGTCCCAGAAATGCTGCCATTGTTTTTCCTTTGACTACTCAAGATCCAACCCAATACCAAGGTGAGTTTCCCACTTAACACCTTGTGATTTGGCCTCCTCCTCCTTCACCTGCCATAGCAGAATTCAAGACTGACTTATAAACTGATATTCTAACTCTGCCATCTCCTAAATCACATGCACTTCATGAGAACATGGGCCACTGGGATCCTGACTCTATACCCCAGTCCTGGACAATGTTGGGCATACTGTGTTCCTTTAGTAGAGTCAAGTACTGCTGAGATGAGTGAGTGGCCCATGCCCTGGGAAAGTCACAGACTTGGCATTAGGAAGGATGCCTGATGATCCCATTCTCTGTGACGTATAAATGAACAGTTGATTCTGTAGATTAGAGTTTGAGGGCTGTAGGGTAATTCCCAATTGCAGGTGATGGTCAGTCAGAAGAAGGGAGGATGACAGAGTTTTGGGATGGTCCATTAGATATGGACAGTAGAGGCTATATATCAGAATTAACTATGTGATTGATTACTGTCCTTAAGAGTCAATCATAAGGGAATCATAAGGGTGTCAGGTCAGGAGAAGACAATCTGATCAGTTTATTAGAAAGGTCAGTTGTGGCAAGACAGTGATGATCAGCAAGGCAAAGATATGCTAAAGTTGCTGGTTAGGTGATGAGAAATAATGACATAATGGGGTGAAAATGGTGAGGAAAAGAGAGGTCTGTGAGTGAACCTTGAAGTTATCCCTGGCTCCATCATGAGAACATGGCCAATGATAGGTAAATAGAAACTGGGCATAAATCTCAGCCTCCCTCTTAGTAGCTGTGTGACCTCAGGCATATCACTCAATCTTTTGTGCTTTAGTTTTCTCATCTGAAATCTGGAAATACCTACCCTAGAGGTTTTGGTAAAAAAAAAAAAAAATACTGTGCCTTGCCTGCAGGAAGCATTGGTGAGGGCAAAGATGAATTCCTGGTACTTACTAGGACCATGCCAAATTACATCAGCTAGACCTGCTCTAACATGCAAAAACTTGGGCACTGACTCTACCCAGTCCACTGGCACACTGCATAATGTCCTCTAACCTGGAGGGCTCTGGGAGACTTTGACAGAGGGGAGACAGGTAAGCAGAGCAAATATTTGGGGTCCAAAAGTATTGTAGACAGGGGTAAAAGGCCTGGATGGACCACTCAAAAGCAAGGGTCTAAGCAAGCTGTTTTGGTAAGGGAGCCCCAGGCAAAGCAAGGAAAATAATGATACTATATTTTAAAAGACACTTGGTTCTACAAAGTAATAAAAAGGCTAAGAGATATCTTGCTGAGATCTGCTGATGAACAACAAGGAATTTGGGAACCTTTGGCTAAGGGGCAGAAACACCTGCTAACATACCTCAGCCTGCTTATTAGCCAGGGTGTGGGCTGAGATCTGAGCAGAAGCACCTCCAGGACTCTGAGCTACTTAAGAGTGTCCTGAGACTCTCCATGGACACAGCTGTGCACTATCTGGCTTATCCTCTGGTCCCTCGCCTCTACAACCCTTGTTTACTCTTCACAGTGTCCTCTACTCTGTGAGGGCGCTTGTATTCCATTCAGGTCTGCTCTCCAGTATTACTTTACTACCCCATGTCTATCCACAAGTTATCTGAAGCATGACAAAGTGTCCTTTCTGTTGTGGCTCAGGGGATGGAAATAAGAGCCTTGTGCATACTAGGCAAGTGTTTTACCACTGAGCCATGCTTGCCACAGAATTTTGTATTTTATTCTGATTATGTTTTTGCCTTTTCTTTTGAAAACACTGACCAGGAGTAACTAATCTGGGTGTTTCTAAAATGGAGCACAGGGCCTGGCACATACCAGGTGTTCAATAAATGACTGCTGAACACAGCTTAGTTCATGGGGGAATAAAAGACCCAACGGCCATGCTCTTATGTAATTTACTTATACATTTCTTCAGAGGCCCACCTACTTAAAGAGGAGGCCCAATTGTAAAGACTGAAAGCAAAAGTGAGAGGATAGCAAACAAAAAAAGTTGTATGGTTTTCAATACTTTTATACCTGATGCCTGCTGACCTTAAAAGCATCAATGTTCCTTCTGAGAACAGCTGTTTGCTAAGTGGACTACTGTGGGTTCTGCTTTGTGAGTACACAAGTGATTAAACAATGAAGTCAGGTTCTTCACACAAATTCACAAAGCTTCAATTAACAGTAATTTTGAATTGTTCTCCACTTTATAACAAAAAGTAACTCTTAAGGAAGAAAATTCTTTGTTGGAAGAACGCAAACAAATAGACCTTCATAAAGCTGTAATCATTTAGGAGTGGGTGATCTAGTCTGTCTTCCCTACCAACACCAGTTCAGACACCAAGACTGAAAGATGGCATGCCAAGCCATCAATCAAGACATGAGACTATTAATCAAAGAAACTTTCACTATACAGTCAGACCAACAGGAATTCCAGCCAATTAAAAAGTTAACACAAATATTCCCCATTTCTATTTGTTTGTTTGTTTAGGTTTTTCAATACCTCCCAGGAATAGTAAAGAGGCAATGACCTTTGTCCTGGCATTACTATTCTGAGGCTAGAGGAAATTAAGCACTACCCCTGATAGAAAACACACCCAACATCACAACAAAATCCCCTAGCATGAGCTATTTTCCACACTGCATATCTCCACAGTGCCTAACCTGGATTGTAAGGAAAAACATTAAAACGGGAATTGCAGAAACCAAAAAACATGGAAACAATAAAGTATACTTAGAATACTGAAAGAAAATCCCACACACTTAGGATTATGCACTCAGTAAATTAATCCTTAAAAAGTGAAGGAGAAATAAAAACTTCAAATGTCTCACTGGCTCTGCATGAAACTAATTGACTTTTTTCAGACAGAAAGAAAACTATACAGGTTGGATGGCTACAGTTCATATATAGAAAGATCATAACTAAATGCAACATAAAAATATTTTCTCATATTTCTACATGATCTGAAAGACAACTGCTATCTTCATGTGAAATCTGGGAGATCAACTTATGGACAGGAAATGCATCCAATACTATATGGAAAAGGTGGAGAAAGGAGAAGGCATTTTCCTGAAGCCACTTGGGCCATGTGCAGGGCTTGACAGTGCAATCTCAATGGGAACTTAGTTAAAGCACACTGTAGAGTTCAGGACAAGAGCAAGACAGCTAAGATGTAAGTATTACTAATACATCATAAGGTATTTAAAAGTATAAAATATAAACAGAAGCCATTGAAAATGAATATAAAACAGGTACATGGTTGATAATCAAATATATTCAAAAATCATTCTTATCAACATTATGATCCATAAAAATAAAAAAATATAAAAACATCAATGAAAAACAGAAGCACAAGGTATAAGAAACTCAACTATACCTATCTAGGACACCCAATCCAAAAGATTTATTTCTATTACCTTAAATTATGTGTTGTGGGGTGGGTATGGGTATGGGCATGGGAGTAAAGATATCCATATAGGCCAGAGGCATCCGAACCCCCCAAAGTTGGAGTTAAAAGTTCTGAGTTGCCCGATGTAAGTGTTGTGAACTGAACTTGGGTCCTTTGGAAAACAGCACACACTTCTAAACTTGAACTATCAGTCTAGCCACAGAAACTTACTTTAAATACTCTGGTAAGTTAAAAGTAAGAGATAGGTCTGTGAAGATGTCTCAGTAGATAAAGGTAGTTGTCGCAAAGCTTGATAACCTGAATTTTGATTGCTGGGACCTCATATGGTAAAAGCAGAGAATGGACTAAATCAATTTGTCCTGACTTTCACACATATGCCATGACACTAGTCCCCTACCCAGAAACAAATAAATGTTCAAGAAAAATATTTGAAAGAGTTAGAAACCAATGGATGAAAGACCCCCACCACTACCAAAAAAAGTATGGAATGCAGGAAGAAATAGAGTGAAGGGGAAAATTTACATTATAGCAACAACATATTCTTCTATTTAAAAAAAAAAGTCAGACATATTTGAAAGACATAAGAAGGAAGAAAGGAAAAT